GAGACGGTTTTCCGGGTTTTCCTCCACGTCCCCCTGACCTGGGCGCCTTCCGGGGCCCAGGCTCAAGGATTGGGTGCTTTTGGTACAGAGAAAGGTAAGACCGCAATTGCGAATTAGGGACAGAGATCTCTGATAACTGGGCGAGCCCGTCGTTAAGGTATATTCTAGCGGTTTTCGCGGCTCCCCAACGTCCTTGGACGAGAAGGCGGTCAAAACTACCGTGGTGTTGGAAGAAAAAAGTGGCCCCACCCCTCCGTAGGGAGTAAGGGCGGTAAGCATACTGCTGGAGCTTCAGTCCCTCAAGGGCGCGATTAAAGAGTCGCCGCCAAGCATGAGGCTTTACAGTGAGGAATTCGTGTGGTCTAGCCTGCATCTTCCACCTGTAGAGTCCTGGCAGTACTGAGGAGTCATGTATGGTAACACTTTCTGCGGCTCCTTGGCGTGCCCCAGACTTTGTGAGCCCAAGGGAGATCACAGCTGGACCCTTGGAGGTAGTGAGGTACACATCCCTGGCCCGCACGCTTAAAAGTTCACCAGTACGCAACAGTCCAAAAAAGGCAACCCGCAGCGATAGACCAAATGCAGGGCAGTCTTGGAGCACGCTCCAACCACAAAGGGCATTCAACAAGGTCAGCGTAAGCGGTGGAGCCCTATTCGGAATTTCAGCGGTGTTCCATGCCTTCATAAGACGCCAGCTTCCTGGAAGCTTCTTCTTGAGGTTTGGGTCATAGTCCTGCAGCGCCGCAAGGGCATTATTGGCAACTGATTTCCCTTCGCCTGTGGCCCACAGAAACTCGAGGTAGTCGGAGACAAGGTGGTCCATCTGGGAGGCCTTTGTAGGCAAGCTGAGCCCCTCCCTTGTCAACCAGTCCAAGAACAAATGTAGAGACTGAGCATATCTTTGACGCGTACGTGGCTGAACAGTAAGGTCTTTCAACTTTCCGAGACTCTTGCGAACTTTCTGGCGCTGCTGCTTGCTGCGGCCTTCAACTATCTTCTTCGTGCTTTTAGCCATCCTTTGCGAACGGGCCGGCGGGATGGTTTATCCGCCGGGTTTTGCTTTGTATCAATGTAGCCCCAGGCTACATGGAGCCCGCTAGCTAACAACAGCGCACTGATCTTTGCAAGAGTCCTTCTGAGCTTCCTACTGCTCGATCTGCCACGTGAGAGAGCGTGGAGAACAACAAGTGAATCAACAAGGTGCAAGCACTTGGTCCCAAACTCCTGAAGCTCCTTGATTCGCCACACTAAGGCAGTTTTCACTGCCCGAAGCTCAAGGGAATTGATATGCTCTGTTTCTCCGGTCCAGCGCCAACCAACAACGTCACGCCATCGCCACAACTTCCCAGGGATAGAGGCACGCAAGCGATGGTAGCGGGCAGGAATATCAGTACTCAGCTGCAGCAATATGTCTTCACCTTTGACAGAGATCTGCCCCAACAGCTTTTTTACGAGTCCCTGAGATTCCTGACCCTGTTGAGTCGTATGCCGCATTGGCGGCCGCATCAACAACCCTGCCATGTTTGCACATTTTCCTGGCGTGAGCTGGTCGACCAGTTCTTGAACACTTTTCAACTCATTCAACCCCAAGGTAGCAAACAAACAATGTAGCAAGCATGCGACAACCGGCACCGACCAACTGTTGCCCAAGAGACTGAGCCTAATGTCGTTGCAATGGGTAGTACCTGTCTCAGCTTTGGGCAAGCATTTGGCTGTGTACTGAGAGGGAAATCCCAGGATTGCCTCCCTTTCCGCAACAGATGGAACACGCACTTCATCTTTGGAGTTCACGAGGGAGTTCTTCAACCGGTATTGGTACGGCGGGAATCTGTGCTGGTCAGCACGCCACCTGGCTACAGCCTCGGGAGGGCAGAGTGCGAGACCTGCTGGCTTGCGTCCGGGCGTGGTGGAAGGCCTTGACGTGGTAAAGGTTGGTAGACTGGCAGGGGATGTGCGCTTCCATCCGGGCTCAAGGAAGTCACGCTCATCAACAGAGGCCTTCAACTCATACACGCCGGCCAACGGGAGCTGGTGCGTGGCCCCACTGACTGTGGTGGCCCCCTTAAGTTCCCTGGGCTCCCAGTTGAACCAGTAAAGCCGTGGCCTTCGACACATTGACACTCCACATGCGTCCACCAGCCATGGCGCCAACCCGTACGCTTGTGACATTACGCGACAGTCTGCGGCATCCATGGACGCGACGTTCTCAATAAGGGTGTAAGTCGGACACCAGGTGAAGAAGCGCTTCAGGAGGCCCTCCACTCTAGGAACATGGGAAAACAAGCAAGACCTCACGTCACGCAACGCGCCACGGCGATCAGCGTTTAGCCCTGAAACCCCTTGACACGGCGGCCCGGCGCCTAGGAGCACGGCACACACCCCTGGGAAACGCAAACACCAACTACTGACTTCGTTTTCATCAATGCTTTGTACGTCCGGGACGGCAATCACCTCTGGAAACCAACTCTCCACCACTCGCCTAGCTTCTGGAGAGATCTCCGCGGACACATAGCCGGCCACGGGCACCTGAAGTGAATCAACTGCAACACGCAACGCTCCAATGCCATCAAAAAGCGACACAACCAGGATGGGGTTTACTTCATCCTGGGAGATCACATCTCCCCTGCAACTGGCCATGCTGGCCGCAACACCATAAGGGCTCAGGTTCCTGGATACGCACAAGCCACCCCCTGTGGTGGACGCATCACTTGCTGTCACCTTTTCTGAAATGGGCGTCCGGAAATCCATGAAGGCCAAGGGAGTCAATGCAACGAAACGCAACAGCTCATGCTCCACTTCTGCTCCCAAAGGTGCACGCTGGGTCGGCCGCAACTCACCTAACTCAACAACACGCCTCCAGATAGCATTGAGCCCTGCAAGGAGGGGTCGTCTGAACATGGCAATGTACACAAATCCTCCGCCTATGACCTGGACTTCCCGCTGCGACGCTCTGCCTTGGATCACTGCCTCGCATGCCAACTTCACATATCTCATCACCTTTTCGGGCTTGGGCCCTGCTTTGCCAAGCTCTCCATCTACCCAAGCCCCTTGCACCTCTGCCTTCACTGCCTGGGCGACGGCCTTCTTGGGGTGTCTCGGAAGTCCCAACGTCTCATAGGTTTCCCTTACTGCTAACGTCCAAGCCGATGGGGTTCCCGCCAACATGTCCGCTAGTGTCCTATCTACCTTCTTTAGCTCATCATAGTTGTCCAGATAGACCCGAAAGAGGTGAGGCGCACTGCTAGCGGGCCGGTCACGCCGAATCTCCTGATGGCCGGATGCCAACCTAGTCTCACCTTTCGATTGATCACCCTCCGGTGGACATGTTGAGCAATGGCCACCGAATTGATGAACCCCATGGGTAACACCTGGGTCACCAGATGCCACCCCGTTCCAGAGAAGCCTTCTGGGAGGGCCTCGCTGGGTACCTCCCGTCCAAACCCCATGTACTTCCACCAGCTGGACGGCGTCCGGAACAAGTAGAAGAAACATCGTATGTCCTCTGATGATGTCACTAGGAGTTGGCTATCCTCAAGTATGATGGAAGACATGCCCACAACACTTGGTAGAGTTGAAGTGTCTCCTATCAAGCTTCGGCAGCATGCATTCGTTGGCACCAGATTCATGATCAAACGACAGACCTCAAATGTGTTCCCCTGGGTGTCTGTCGCCTGCTCCTGCTTGCTAACAGCAAAAAGTCCGTTCAGTAAGGGACGTCCCCCTATGTGATGAAGTTCACTGCGATGCATGAGTCGACACACCCCCCGTCGAACGAGCCCTGAACACACTTCAGCCCAGTGGCCGGCCTCCACCATAATGCTTGGCGCCTTCCCCAAATGCTGGTCCTGAGGCGGGAGAAGAAAGTTCTCAAAGTTCTGCACGTACGCCAGAGTGCCCCCTTCGCAAAACTCTTCCAACTCTAAAGAGCCTACTGCTTCTGGGAAAGCGGCCTCCACCATCCGCCAGTCAAACCGACGTGCGACCTGAACTATCTCCCCGGAATAGTCTACCGACCTGGCTTTGAAAAACTCCCCAAAATCGAGGTCTGGGAGTTCACACTTCTCTAGTTCAGACTCCCCTACCACCTTCTTCAACCTCTCAACCATGGTCATTCGAACCTTGTCCTCCCTCACTCTCATCAAAGTCTTTGTCCCATACAATGAATTCAATGCTTGCACCAATGCATCTGTACAATAACCTGGGGGAGTATCGGGCTTCAGGGACGATGGAAGGGGCAAGGGGAACAAGTCCCCTTTGGTCTCGCTGCAACGCGCATATGCCTTCTCTTGCACCTTCAACGCCTCTAGAAGCGGCTCCCCAATCTCCTCAAATCTCAACCCCTTTTTTCGACATGCCGTGGCAAGGTTGTACCGGCAATGTTCAAAGGCCTGCCGATCGCTTGCTTCCAGCACCGTCCGTCTCGACCCACGTTTCAGTGGGGAGGTATAGGCCTGTGAAGCAGTGTCTCCCAAAGCGCTCTGCTGGTTTTCTGATCCAATCTCAACGCACTGGGAGTCCTGCTCCCCTTCCAAAAAATCAACGTCACCAGGCGGGCCCAATGCAGCATCCTCTTCTCTCCTCACAACAATGTCACGTCCTCGCGACGGCCCCAACGCAATCATCCTCTCGCCCTTGGTCTGGGAGCCCTGCGGCTCCCCTCCCAAAACCACATGCGGCATCGGGCCCACCTGCTGCTCTCTGTCCTCTGCCTTCTTTCGCCTCAAGCCTACCTCACGACAATCCTTCAACAGCCTCTCTATAGCCCTCGTTTCTTCTTTTGCCTCAGCCTCTGCACCCTTTTCTTCCAGCTTTGCTGCCCTCTGCATCCTCTGCTCATCCGCCCCTTTCCAGACCCTTTTTGAACCCTTTGCTTGCTTGGCCTCATCTTTTGGATCACTCATCAAACCTCCGTTGGAGCTCTTTGCTTGCTCTGGGCTACTCATTCTTCTTTTTTTCTTTTCCTTTCGCACCTTTGCCCTTTTCACCTTTCCCTTTCTCTCCTCCGGAGGTATAGCGATCTTTTCCTTTCCCGGCTCCCTCCCCTTTGTCTCGGCCTGCGGATCCACTACCGGACCCATACGGCCGCTGGGAGGCAAGTCTATCCCGAAGCTCTTCACGAGCCAGCTTGGCGGCCTCTTGGCCTTCGGGGCCTTTGCTGAGGCCGACTGAGTCAGCACTGACTAACTCTAACTGTCTGGCTACCGGCCAGTGTCCGCCTCGGATCTGCTGATCGAGGGCCTTGACGCGTTGCGCCAGCAAGTCAAGCGCTCGTGCTGGATGCCCACGTAGGAGTAGATCCGCTCCTTGAGATAGCGTAAGGAGCTCCTGACTCATCGAAGGAGAGCAAAGCGCCTGCATCTCGGACCTGAAAAACTGCGAGAAGATCGGCGGAAGGGTCTTCCGATCTTGAGAATACAAGCTTCCGCTCTGGGTGAGCAGCGATTCCTTCATGCTGGCCACCGTTTGCGCGGCCAGACTGCCAGGATACCGTCTTGTCAGACGGAGGGCTCTCTTCCGCTCCTCAAATAACCCCTCGCCGAACTCATCCTCCTCCGTTTCACTCGAGGAGCTCGAGCTGCTTGTGTTCTCACTTGATGACCTCCTCCTCTTCTTTGAGCTTCTGCCACCAAACCGCTTCGCTCTCTTCAGCAATCTGCTTCGGGTCTCAGCATCTGGGTCCAAGCAAGTTCCCACATACAAGGCTGACAATGCTTTCTGCCCTCGCTCCAACAATGCACTGTCCTCCTCAATGTCTGCCCCTTTCTTGGGGCCCGGCTCCTTCTCCTGCTTCTTCAACTTCTCCTTTTGCTTCTTCTTCTTCCTTTTCTCTTTCGTCTTGCCCTTCTTCTCTGACTCCTCACTGGGAGGCTTGTCCTCCCTTCGGTCTGCCCCTTTGCGCTCTTCGTGCAACTTTCGAAGCGCCCCCGTCTCATCATCGGCCCCAACCTTAGTCGGACCCTCATCATACATAGTCTGCCATGGCTTCTTCTCCTCGTCTTCCACCACCCAATAACCTGCCGCGTGAATGATGTCCGGGCCCGACTCTCGACGTCCGCAGCTAGGCTCACAAACGTGCAGCTGGAAGGTGCGTCTCTGAGGATCCGCGAGCAGCTCAGTCATATGATCCGTCTGCGTCCCGGTTGCACGGAATGTCAGAAAGGCATCGTCCTTTCCCAGCCCCTCAACGAAGCCTGCAAGCTTGACATGGCCTTCGTAGTACGACGCCTGAGCAAGCTCCACAAGGCCTAGGCCTCTCAACTGCACCGCGGCAAGCTCTCTGAAGAGATGAAGCCTTGTGACCTTCTCCTCACCGGCCACGTGACTGGCAGGCCGCTTCCGTAGAGCGGGGGCTCTGGCAGCTGGTCGAGCTCTTGGGGGCATTATCTTCGTCGATTGAAGAGCTCTTGCTTTGCCCGGCGGGTCACCCCCCTTATTCTTGCCTGCCCACCAACGCGGGTGATTGCTGTACTTAGGTGTCACTTTTGAATTTGTAGTTGATTATAAGTATGGTTACAAAATCTACAAAAACTATTTCATAATTTTTGTAAATTCCCAAAAACTTGTTTTTTTAGTGTTTCTAAAATTATGTTTTTTGAGTTTGTTGTGCTATGAAATGCAAAAGGCAGATTTTGAAGAATGGTGATTGCAAATATCTGTGATTAAACTGTGAGCAAGCGCCATTTTGGTTGTTGCAAGCGTGCAAAGCCGACTTTGTGAGATATAACTGCACCTTTTGTGCTGCTTGGCGACGCAACCTTTCTCTGGCTTTTGAACTAAGAAAGGTCAGCCTTGGCTGAAAGATTTTGTTTGTGCTTCTTGGGTTTGTTGCACTTGCTAACTTTCAGAAATAGTATCATAGCATAGTATGGATGTATATCTATGCAGCCGCACGTCTGAATAGATATGTGGAATGGTATGGGAATGGTATGGGGTGGTATGGGGTGGTATGGGGATGGTATGGGGCTGGTATGGGGATAGCTTGGGTGGTATGGGAATGGTATGGGGATGGTATGGGGATGGTATAGGGATGGTATAGGGATGGTATAGGGTGGTATGGGGTGGTATGGGGTGGTATGGGGTGTTATGGGGTGGTATGGGGTGGTTTTGGGTAATGACCCTAATCCAAGACCCACGGTAATGACCGTTCCCACAAGTGATTTTTCGAGTCGTGCTTAAAATGGAAAATATGTGTCTCAAAACTGCCAAAGTACTGTTCAATGGGTAAAGACACCGGCTTCTCTTCGTCCCCCATATCTGAAGGTGCCTTCGAGCTGAAATCCGAACCCCCTGACTATAAACCAAATGCCACGGTCAATGTCAACCTTCGGTAACGACCGACAATCGGTAATGACCGAAAGATGAAAAGCAAAACCCAAGAATCTTCAGTATATATACAGGATGTGATATGTGCACATTGACAAGTACGTTTCATATTTAGACCAAAAGAAATACAATATATATGTATCCAGAAAACGTGCGGCTACATAGATATCATAATTTCGTAGTTTCAAACAAGAATTTTACGGCTTTATGCATGCAAATTTCCACACGCTGCAAGTGCTGCCAAAGCAGTCTCCAAACGTGGTTCTTGTAAATCTTTGTAAATTCTCTGTAAGTCCTTTTTCAGACTTACATAACTTTCGCAAGTATGACTTATAAGTATTTACAAATCAAAAAGTGACACCTAAGTAGGGCACGCGACCTATCCAGCCTGGTCCCTGCGGGATGGACGGCCTCTTGGGAGGCCTTACTGGCGGGGGCCTCGCCGGCGGCTGGCGCACCGGTGGAGGTGCTGGCGGGGGGCCAGGCGGTGTATGGGGGCTGCGAGGCTTCTCGGGCGACTTGAGCTTCACTGCACCTCTCTTCTTTGCCTCCCGGACTCGTGAACCTGTCACTGAGGAGGTGTTTGACCCTGACCTCCGTCTCCGGCGGCTTCGATCCTCCTTGTCACGACGGCTGCGTCGCCTTTTCTTCTTGTCTCGGCCTCGTGAGCTGGGAGATGAACTTGTTTTCTCCCGTCTCCTCCTCCTCCTTCGACTCTTCTCCTTCTTTGCGCCCCCGGGGACTTCCGGTTCCACTTCAACCTCAACCTCCTCTGCTTGGGGGGCTTGCTTGCTCTGTGGTGAAGTGGCCGATTTCTTCTCTGGCCTGTGTGTCGGGGGATCCTGGTCTCGATGGCTGGGTCTCGGCACTCGGACGGTCTGGGAGCTGAAACCTCGGTCTCTGCTCCCCTGATGGGGGTCCGGGACCGGCGGTGGCGGCGGCAAGGGGAGCTTGGATGCACCCTTGCTCGAGCTGGAGGGACGGCTACTGGTAGGGCGGCTGGTTTCTGGAGGGTGCTGGTCTTTCTTTTCTGTGGCTGGGCTCTTCGCAGATTCTAAGGGTTCGGCTGGTCGTCGGGCTGTCTGAGGGTTTTCTGTCCTTGTTGAGGCTTCTTCCTTCTTTTCGGGCTTGCTTTCTCGCTTGGTCTTTTCTTCGGCTGCCTTGTTTTCCTTCGCGTCCAGGTTCTTGATCTCCCCGATCCAGTCCTCGAGGAGTCCAAAACACCCTTCTAGAAAAACCGCAGCAGCCTCGTCCCTATTCGGGGCAACCACTGATCTCAGAGAAACCAGCAGCTGGTACCCCTTCCTGCAAGGGACACACGTCTGCAGGCCCTTCGAACGTACGACGAAGTGCCTGCAGCGATCGCACACTGGGAGAGGAGGGGGTCGACCCTCCTCTCCCATCCACTACTCTGCCTCTTAAGCCCCAATGCTACGGTGAAAACATGACCTGCTCTGTGATTAATCATGAGGGCATAAGATCATATATATATATATGTGTGTGTGTGTGTGTTATTTTAGCACCCACAAAAATAGCACGTCACCGTCCTCCAGCTGGGCTTTCAGCTCCTCCTCTCGCAGCTCTGCCGCGCTGAGCGCCTGCCGGGCGCTCCGCAGCTGGGCTCGGCACTGTGCCACGTCCACCGCAGCGCGGCTCAGCTCCTCACCTCGTCTCTTTCAAACGGCAATTTGAGTTGGGAATCATGTAGCAAAGGATGTATTTTTGTAATTGTCTGTAAAGGTTTCCTTTAGGGGGGATCACGTATTTCATTGTATTTCTGTAAAGGTGGTGTTGGGCATGCCAAGACTATAGTTTATGTTCAAACGTCAACTATGGTGGCGCACTGTCGTTGGTCGTGGACCCCAAATGGCGCAACACTGGTGGGTGGGGTGATCACGCTGCAAAGACTCCCTATGTGGGATGACAAGCCATATGGCCTGGACGAAACCGGTGGCCAAATGCATGCTGCCGGTTGCCAAACCGCTTGGTCATGACAGAACATCAGTGAGATAAGCATTCGCCCACAAGTGGGGAAGCCCTGAGTTGCAGTCCTGTCCAGTCAGTTGACCCCAGCAAGCAAGAATTGTCCCATCATGTTCTGGATGTTGAATGCTTGTGGCGGGAATCATGCACAACAGAAAGGATGGCCTGCTAGCTCAAAGCCGGAGCCAAGTTTAGCGGACTAGGACTCTCTGAAGGCCCTGAATCACTCTGATGTATTTGATGCCCATTCACACTTCCCACCCCCTATGAACAACACCCCTCCATGGACCCCAAACATAGACCCAAAACAACCTATCAGGCCAGTACTGGCAAGTCACGCAACTGTAACTCCTTGTCGGTGGCCATCCCGCCTAGCCTGGACAGTGCTGCTAGTTGAATCAGGTCAGGCTGCGGATGTTGTGGGTCCGGTGGATGACTTCCGAACTGTAACTAGGTGCTTAGGGGAACCAGTGCCTGGCCTGGCGACCAACCTGTGGCAATGACACCCCAAGGCCTTGATCAACAACCCCCCGCACACACACACAAAAACAACTAAAACAATATCGTAGCTTTGCCATCGCAGCGCCCATGGAACCACAAATACACCGCAATACACCTGACAGGAACGAGCTGAACGTTGTAAGTGGGCTGATTGAACAATACTCCGAGACTTTCTTTAGCCCGCCTGTGCGAAGCTCACACGTCAAAGGGCAAATTGCAGGCACGCACCATGGCCACCAATCTACTCCCAAACACATTGCATGTCGTTGATCGTGCTGAGTAAAGTTAAAATGTATGAACATGTTTCTTGGATCAAATGATCAAGGAGAAACTCTTCAACAACATTTCTGGCTACACATTTTTTGAGAGTGATGTTTGTAGATCCAACCTAATTACGCTTGTTTGTTCTCTCTCTCCTTCTTCTACAATAACTATGAACACCAAAATGTGTGAAATTGTGTGAGCATTGTGAGTGTCTGTCTCATGCAATCCGTCCTTGAAGCGATTGCCTTTTGACACTGAAATCTTACCCGTGCGTGACGCAGAAATCAACCGTGGATCAGGAGGCAATGTAGTACTGTACTGTCAGAAAGCAATCATGAAACAAATCTAGAAGGGCGTTCCTCAGAAAAAAAACCACACCGATCATCCAGTGAAACTAGGATGTTGGGTTCCGCACTAGCGCCGCGCCCGTCCAATGGTGCCGCCATGGACTTTCTTCGTGCGCGGTGCAATGGTGTCCTCAAATGCACAACGCCGTGCGAGGGTTCAAAAGCTCAAACTTTCAGGCTTGTCATCACTAGTCACTAGTGCCAGCGTGGCCAAGATACCTTGCATTGTATGTTAATTACATCACTAATTAGACAAATTGCAGTAGACATTCTTCGATGATCCCCGACTGCCAAACGTCTGCCGACATGACAGCGCTGCCGAGGATCATAGTCCAAAGGTCCCGGCGACTTCGCAGAGAAAATATCTTTAAAGCGTTTCCTTTGGGCCGTGTGTTCATTTCCACTCGATGGATGGAGGTAGTTCCTCAGCTCCTCGAAATCAATCACGCCATCCTGGTTCTGGTCGCAAGCATCAAAGATTTGCTTGGCTTCGACCGCAGTGATGGATGGATCTGATTTTTGTAGAAGCGTGAAAACTTCGTCCACATTAAGATTGCCATCCTTGTCTATGTCACAGCTTGCAAAGGCCCGCTTCTCGTACGGAAGATCTGGCAGGTTCATGCGACCAGGGACGCCAAAGTAGCTGCCACCTTTTACCTGCCAAACTGGAATGACACTGGAACCATGGTCCATGGTCGCAAACTAATGCTCACCGCAAATTAACACTCTCCTTGTCTCTCTCTCTCTCTCTGTCTGTCTGTCTGTCTTTCTGGGTCTTTCTCTCTCTCTCTCTCACTTCCTCACTCCCTCCCTCCCTCCCTCGCTCGCTCTCTCTCTCTCTCTCTCTGTCTGTCTGCCCTCTGACAACCCTGAAATGTTGGAGCCCGTGAAGGAACACCATCGCAAGGTGAACGAACGAACGAACGGGCTGCTGCTGCATGATGCCATGCCAGGACTATGAGCGTAACACGATCTTAAAGAGGCTCCTGGAAAAAACATGGAAAAATCAAAGAAAGCCCCCCGGCCCCAGCCAAATGATTCTTTAAGATCTGATCTTGCAAAACATCAACTCCCCTCGATAAGCTCAAATCAGGTCGACGGTCAAGATGATTGGAATCACCATCCCATGCAGGTGCCTTATATTTGGTCTCGGTGGCATAGGTCGCCGGTCCCGGCGATGGCTCTTCGCTGCCGTCGTAGCACAAGGCCCGGCGGGCAGCGCCGATCGTGGCACGGGGGCCCTGCTTCTGATGGGCCAAAGCCTAGAAGGAACCAATAGGAATGAACATCAAAGGAGTTCTGAGAACCAATGAATGAGTTATTGGGACACGGGGTATGGACCGGTATAGATGTCGTTGATCTATGAATGAGGCAGCCGGATAACAGGTCTCCGATAACAGGTCTTTCATATGGTACTTCACGGTCTTCCACCAGGGCCATGAGCTTATCAGTTCAGCTGTTCTGAACTGAAACACGCATCTGCCCTGAAATGAAAAGTGTTCAATGCGGTGTGGCCCAAATTGTTGTGACCATCTTGCACAATTTCCCTTGACATTTGACATTAACATGAGTGAGGAATTCAGTATTAGTGTTCCTTGTTGTTCTTTTTGTTATGTCTCATGCCTTCCCATCTTGACCGCATGAGGACATCCTTGGAGGACATCCTTGGTCCTCATGTCCCCTGAGCCCCACCAGCTGTGTTGCAGTAACTCCTCTTGCACACACTCTTTAGAAGTCTGTGATATATACAATCATGAGCAGTGTTCAATACCCAAACACTCCATGGAACAAGCATATTGACCGATTAACGGGGTGGTTTTAATGGTCAATGTAGGTATATGTCGGTATATGTTCCATACATGGAGTGTCTGGGAAAAAAGTGTTTCCGTCGATTGGTCGCAAGTCACTACGATCCTCTCAAGTGGGTTCCACTCCTCTTCGGTTAACCTTGGTGATGACATCTGCCCCAAGGTGTTTCTTTCTTCACATGCCAGGGCGAGGGGAACCGCATCCATCCCCCCCTACCATCAAAAAACATCATTAACTCAAGAGTGAAACGCTGTCAAAGAGCCCAGGACAAAGAGAGAGAGAGAGAGAACATGGAATGAAAGGACTCAATCACTTTCAAGGGGGTTGAAATGTTGAAACATGTTGAAACACTTGATTCATGACAACTCCACGAAGCTGCTGGACCAAGGACAACCAACCAAAACAAGTGGTCTAATTACAATATATATATATATATATATATCGTAGTTTCAGAATAGATGGCACAAACCCAAAGATGTCTTTTATATAGGGGTCCATATAAATCACCTTTTGGGGATTGCGCCATCTATACTCTGAAACCACCGTATATGCTAAGGACATCCTTTAACTTTTACATCTCGTTGTTCACAGACCGTCTGTTTGGACCTCCCATCCATGACACGGCACGGAGAAGTTCTGTGCGTAGGCGCCAGGGCCCGGCGACTCGGACCGGCCGTCCCGGATCTTCGGGGCGGAACCGAAGGTGGCGGAGTAGGTCTTCCTGAGAAAACCGTTCCAAGCAGTGCAGTTGGTGGTGAGGTGGGGTTGGATTTTCGCACCGATTGAGTGGATGATTCTAGACTTACAAAGAACCTTTCGGATCCTTTTGGAAGGTTCCAGCTACAATGCAGTGTGTCGTAGGACCTACAGTAGGTGTGATTGCAAAACCAAAAGGCTCAAGTCAAGTCATAAGCCTGACTGCTATGGGATTTCCCTGGCACCACAAGGAACGCAGGGCATAGGTTAGCGTAGCGAGTGGGTTGTGCTTGGGAATTCAAAATCAGCAAAACCAGCAGGGTTACGGTTTCACCTTCAATTCGACTGCGCGCTTGTGCGGTTGACGATTATTTTAGTGTTCTTTTTTTTCGCGCTCTTTTTGGGATCTTGCTTCTTAAGTAGCGCTTTCACATAGTGGCAGGCGCAGCACTTTGTGAACCTGGAAGTGCACCTTTCGTGGCAGGTGCAGCACTTTTGTGAACCTAGAAACCTTGTGGCAGGCGCAGCACTTTTCTGAACCTCAATTTTCAAAGTGCAGATTACACTTCAGAGCTCACGCGTGAAAGAATGAAGCAATGCGAGGATCACAGCTGGAGCAAGGAAGCTACTGTAGGGGCACGGACAAAGCCAATACCTTCTTACATCTGGCAGCTGTGCAAACAACGCCACGAAAAGCAAAAGCCAAAAGCCAACAAAAGCCAACAACCGCCAAAAGCCCAAAGCCACTAAAAGCCAAAGCTAACAGAAAGCTATCAAACCACCAAAGGTGAAAACAATTCCCAAAAGGGGCGCAAAAAAAATCTCCTAAACAAAATATGAGTTCCCGCTTGCGCTGGGTCTTGCCGAGCTGATCTCTTCGACACCCCAACATGATACTTTTAAGTTCATCATTGACACTGACATATGCAAATAATCACATGCATGCAATATACAAAGAATCGGTATCCTAATATACCGCACAGAATCAGAACTACTGCATCACAGAACATCACAATTATCCTTCACTGGCGAAGACATTGCGCAAACATTGTATGCCAAGGCGCTTATGAAATGCACTTCCTGTATCAGTGCTGGTGTATGCACAAGGACCTGGTGAAAACTGATTGATGCCATAGTCAGTCATTCTCCTGAGTCACGCGTGCCCTCTTGCCATCACGTAGCGGCCAGTAGGTGTCCCATGGGTCAGTTGGTGAGTTGATGGAGAGGAATAAACGATTGCAAACTGTGACACTGGGGAACTCAAATTGGATGCTAGGGAATACTCACATCCTTTCATCCGTTCAAAAAAATCGATCATGGATTCACTCATGTCATCAGTCATCAAACCTCCAAGATATTCCAAGATGTATTCGCTCCAAGCATCCTCTGGGCAGGGATGACTGCACGAGGCGCATTTCGCTTCCCAGCCAAGTTTTTGTCATTGCCCACATAGTCGGCTGGCCCGGGCAAGGACAGCTGAAAGGCATTCCGAAGCTTCTTGCCTTCAGCTGACTTCAGTGACGAGGAGTCGTGACAAAGACTCCTCCCACGTCCCACAGAACAAGTCTGTCACCGTTTCAGCGTTTGACATCCAAGCTACGCCATGTGGAGTGCTCAAAGGTTGATCCTGGCGGGTGCAGGTATTCAGTGAGCTCGTTGTATCCGATGCTGCCATCCTGCATCAAAGCATTGGAGAGAAGTCTGGTGCGTATCTACATCGGACTCTCATCTCTTATTGGCAAGCTCAAAGACTCCAGGAGATATATTGAGATATGATATGACATTTGGCATTGCACCGGCCATGCTGGGGCGACCCATGATGTGTGACATGACACAACTTGGTCACCAATGAAATCGTCATCAACCATGAGTCCATGAGCCATTAGTCAGTAGTCTCAACATGTCAAGATCTGCCAAGTGCACAAGTCACCAAAGTAGGACGTGACATGGGGATAATGAGCTGAGTCATATATCCAATTGCTTTGCGCGACGACCCATGGCCCGGTCCCCATCAGTATCCAGCGCATGAAAGAGTGCTTGGACCTGGCTGTGATCTGCAGCAGGGGCCCAAAAGCAATCCGTTTGCACATGCTCAGGACTGAAACAAAGCCTGTAAAGGCCTGGAACAAGAACCAAATGCAAAATACCATTAGAGTTCAAGACAACGAAAAACTGCAGGCAAACAATTCCAAGTACTGAGACCCAGTCATTTTTAACTTCTCTTGGTGTGGATTCCCCTCGTACTATTTGTTGTAAAGCCCAACAGAGCAGCCTCAGTGTCCGTGACAAAGGGATCTCCCTTCCGCAGAAGTTTGCTGAGCTCCTGACAGTTTGCCGAGTTTGGTGCTTTAACGAAGTGCTAACGTGCATTATGAATGTTGCAGGACTAAGGAACATGGCAGGACATGGGCATGCATCGCATGAACCCCTGAGTCTGTCTGCATCCTGCCTACTAATGTCCGGCTTTGATAAAATACTACTCTGCAATCTCTCCAAAACTCCGGGAATACACTAAAGCAACTGAGCAACTCTGGTGGACAAAATATTGCTCACTGATGCAACATGTACAGCAACAAGTTAAATATGCAAAGGCCTGAAAATCGAGCATGCCATTCTTATTGGCGTCATATTTGATGAACGACTGCTTCTCCTGACTAAAGCACTCTCAGCCACTTCCCCAACACAAATTGCAGAATTGCATGGTCCGATATAGTCTGCAGGCTGCAGGTTGGTTGAATGCTGCTTCTATGCATGCGGCTTCATTTGGTGCAGTTTCTTTGTAAGAGTGGTCTTCATCTCCAGCCTGCGACAAGGTAAAGGACGCATCACTTTGATCCAGGCCGACCTGCACCACTTCAGAAAGAGGGCATGTACACACATGGGTCAGACCTAGCTGTAAATGCAGCAAATGCACATGCACGCATATGATCTGCACAGTTCAAAAAATACTTGGCAACGCACAAAAAGGGCAGGGTTGGATGTCCAAAGGGCTCGTTAAGTTTGGTGGACTCGCTTTTCATATCTTTTCATGTAACTATTTTGCAGCGAAGGCACCGTGATGTGCCCGGTTCCGAAGTAGCTTCCTCCAGGCACCTGCGTAGATGAAGGCGGTATGATAGTTCATGTTGTGAAAACTAGCTTTTGCTGAACCAAAGGTATCCACCACACGAGCCGTGCCAGCTGACATATTCATATAATCATACACCTATATAATATACCGTGAGTCAAAAGCATCCCTGGCTATGGATAGCCTATTAAGATTATTAAGGCCAACATATTTGAAGTATGCATTCCCCTTGGAAGTCCGTGGCCAGGCCTTCTCCTTCACGGTGTTATTGTATGCCTGGATCAAAGTGATTGGCAAGCACAGGTGCGACGGCATTGCAACGGAACGACCCTCCTAGCTGAAAATAGATTCCTTTGCCCATGCGCAGATTTGTGCATGAAACCCACACTCAGCTGCAGGAAAGTGAACTACACATGGTGGTAAATCATTGATCCAAGTTGCCCCGGGCCCCGGTGTCGGCAACGGTGGCGCCATCCGCGAGATGTGAGCCCCGGGGATTTTATTCTCCTGGACAGGTCTGAACAACCCCAAAATTCACCAAAGAAATGCAACAGCACATCCAGCACAAACATGCACAAACTTCCGAACACCAATCCAACGACAATGTTGTCATGAGCCAGCTTGCATGGTTTTGAAAACTAGAGTCAAGACTTCCCGCTTGCAGTCGTGCAGCTCCTCCCATTTCAAGGCCAAGCTTGGTTGGCTGGTTGTGCTGCCAGTGGTGGTGCGCCTGCATGCAGCCCTGATCTGGGCAGGTTCATGTTACGATCAAGCCAATCAACACACCACCCGGACACCGCGTACTGAACGAGTTGCTGATGTCAAAGCACAACAAGCGCGACAATATCACAAATCCTCAGACTCCTATGCGCTTCGACTGCTACATACAAGCATTGACTTGCAGCCAACTCTGTCTCACACCGATCTGCTCTACGCCCAGCAAACTGCTACACATGCAACACTAATATACACAAATATTAAACACATACACACACATATATATATATATAGTTATATAATATACGAGTATAAAGTTGCACTGTATCCATTTTGATGAAGGCTCAACTGGTGTCCTCGTTTGCCCCACCTCGCGAGAAGGTTTGGGAGACTTCCAGCCTTGAAGCCGGAAAAAAGACAAACAACACATACGCACTGAGCACTGTAGATTGAAGTCATGTATCTGCAAAACGCTACACCGCAACCTTATGCAAGGTGGCCTTATGCGGGAGACTGATAGGTATGTCTTGGATTGTCGCGGATTTCCTGATGTTTTGCGAGATCTTCAACTGTGCCCATTGAGTCACTTGGGCTGAAGCCGCAACATGCAACAATAAAAAAACATATGGAAATTGAGCTCATTTTGAGGAACCTTGCAGCAAACCAAAAACCCAGTGTCTTCGCATTAGCGTGTTTTTTTAAAGTAATGTCATGTATGCTGCTTCGCAACGTTGAATAGTACAAACCTGCCTTCTTGACACCCGATCATTTCTTGCTGTCTGTCCATGTCCCTGCAAGAGTCCGAAATTCCGCCCGTCTCAGTCAACAGCAAGCACAACTATACTAATTAATATACTCCTATTGCAAACAGCTATGGCTTTCCCGACATTCCCCAACTAGTTATTATATACTACAGTCTGTAATTACCTTCACCTCCTCCGACAGGGCACCCTCCTAGCACGGACTACGCTGACCGCGCTCTCGGTGGTGGCAGCTTTCCGGGGAGGTTTGAAGCTCTCAAAGACCTCCACAAAGCGGCTCAAAGGCACATGGGCACTCACATGGGCACCCGTGACAAAGAATCCAAACATGTCAAATGCACTCGACTGCACTGGACTGAATCTGATGAAACATACGCGTATGTTCTCACAAAGATATCATGGAATGTCCACCAAACAAATGGGAAAAACGACACATCGCTTGACATGCATTGTGCAATAATATCAGTTGATATCAGTTGTGGTTTCCACCAATTTGGACGACACTCGCGGGCAGTTCGTATCAGTTCGGCTGGTGATCCTCGACATAGAAGTTGCTGGTTCTATTGACTGATGCAAGTGCTGTTTCAACAGCTGGTGATCAGCTAAATGACGGAAGAAGGATCACTCACCGACGCTTGAAATCTCGACTCATCTGTATGTATATATATATAGTCCAGTCTGCGGGAATTCAGATTGCAAAACTTAGCTTGGTTATGCTTGGCTTGCCAATTCTCTTCCATCCAACAGGCACCAACATTTCAACCAAAGGAAGGGCACGAGGGGCTTGTCATACTTTAGCACAGGCAAAGGCAAAGTACTTGTACATTGCAGACTTATTGTAGGCATCTTGGCAGCCACTAAGGTCCAAGCAAAACAAGCACCGTTTTGACCCTTGTTGCATTCCAGGTGTCTTGTTGCCAATTTTACCAGATTGTCTCCAAATGGGCTTCCTTGTACAGTCCCCCTCATAAGTGGTTTCAAACAGCAGCGGCGCTGCCGGACAAAAAGCGCCTTCTTACGAGCGACCACAGGCTCTTTCTTGACTATGGCTTCATTGGTGGCTGGTGGCTGGGGCTCTGCCTGGACAACGATGGATGCATATTACCAGTCTAAGCCAGCACAAGTTATATATAAAGATGCCAAGTCTCAGTGGGACCCAGACTTGGCATTGCAAAGGAACATAAAGGAACTACAAAGCATTTGAACCTGAGTGAGTGGCATACGGCTTCCTGCTTTTGAGGCCCCTCACCTTCTCAGCCCTCATGGTCGTCTCCAGGTGTTCTGGGACCTCCGGTTCAACCTAAGGCCCCGAAACCCCGAAATGCCCCGAACACTTAGACACCGGCACATATCGCTTGAAGTACTTAAGCGTTCTCAAGATCTCTTAAGTTAGGAGACGTCTTCATGGTGCATGGGCACAGTGTGACGCAACCACTAAGTCTCCAGCGGGCTTTTCTTGTTCAATTTCAATGTTCATAAACTCCTTGCAGCACCTCACAAACCTCAGGGGGCTGTTTCGTCACAGTGGGAAAACTGTACCGCCTGAAGTGTGAACACCTATTGCTCAGAACTCAGAACAAAATCGAAAAAACATAATATAAAGGACTGGCCACGCTGATCAATTGCATGAAACCCATGGCAAAGGTCCACCCCCTCCACCGGGCACCAGACTCTTGAAAGGTCACCTGCCGTCACTGGACGTTGGGCCACTCGGGGTCACCGGAGTGCTCGGTCGTCGGGGCCACACTGCCCCAAACCGACCGAGCACCAATGCTGACTTTCATGCACAGCTGCTGACTGTCGCCTTTACAGCGAAGCAGGATACCCAAGGACAATAGAAATCAATTCCATCCAAAGGTATCTCTCATGCGTCATCTGGGCATATGTTACCGAAGCTACGTACAGTAAGGACTTGCTGACACCAGCGGATTGCAGCTAGCTAGGGTTGCAGGATGTGATGTGTTGCTATTTTTGCTTCAATGCACCTTGCCGCTGGCATCAACCACCTGGTCGAAGATGGGCTTTGCCTGCATCTGGCTCTTCTATTGCAAACACTATGCGAAAGTGCGCCGGCTTTTGAGATTCACTTAATAAGTGCAAGTGCTATGAGAAAGTAGTGGCTGAACACTGGTAAACCCTACCAAAAATGCACCGCCAGTGTGTTGCGGATTCGGCTGTGCACTGGCAACTAGGACACGGCAGCGTCATACAGCGGCATATTCTGACACTAGACCTGGCCACAAACTAGACCCAAGTTGTTGAATTGCTGAACTGCTAATCCATTTTGTGTTGTCATATGAGTGAGTGAGCATGAGATGATATATTATACGCAATATGTTTGCTGCGACTATGTACTGTAATGATATAAGTTGGTATCCCCTGAAGGTTGTGCAAGCCTTGCTGCGAGTCATATCGCAATCGTCCTCAGAGATCCATGAGTAGAACTCATCCTCAGATTCGCAAGGACATTCAACGAATATGGAATTGCACTGGTTGTGGATGGAATTGGAATACAATTCCCAATGGAATTGGAATACATTCAACGAATGTGGATTGTTGGTTGTGGAAAACGCAATGGTCAGGATCTTCAACCAATGGCATTATTTAAAAACAAAAAACACTAAAAACACGTCACGCGTCTGGGGTGAGACACGCTGACAAAACATCACATTGAAGCTAAAAAGCCTCCTAAGCATGGGCCAACACTGTTGGTGATACCCGGTCCATTTGCAAGGCCATTGTTCTTGGGAAATACGGTGAAATACGGCCAACCCCATCCAAACCCACTTTCTTTGCAGTTCTGTCCCCATTCACCTTTGTAGCCATGTGCGCACAACCCCCTGAGTGGTTGGCAAAGTCAAGCACTCCATCCTGATCCAAGTCCAACGTCCTGCATGGAAGGCTACTGGCTACAATCCCTGAGAAACAACACCGCCAGGGTCCAGGTCGAACATGGCCCTTTCAACGCTGGTCCCTTTCCTCACCAATATATGGTCTATTCTGAAATGCCCCATTCTCTCCGATAGCTTCGCACACATAAGAATTGAAAACAAAGTTAGGGCAAGGCTCGATGCACAGGATACCTTGATGACAATGAGGGTCATAGAGTCATAGAAATGTGGCGGGGATAATTACAGTACATGCCAGGGATATGACCCATGTTGCATAATATTGTATCGAAGGGTGCAACAGGCCCGGTTGGTTGTGCTATTCTATAATAGTCTTGTATGCAGTCGTCCCAGTGGCCATTTGTATCCATCTGTCAACTTGTAAGGGTTGCACAAAATACTAGGGCTCGTTCTTTTGTCCATTGACTCACATTGATGTGCACTGCCCACATGCAACCATGTTCTTCTACCCACGCACCAGCTTGCCTGAAACGCTCCTTGACTGCCTTGGTACAATGGTGAGGCATTGCAGCTCAAAGCATAAGACCGCCTACGCACAGTCTTATCACTTATTGAAACTACGCCACACCGCACCGCCTGGAGACACAAGTTGATTTGTGATGTGACTGCGTGCCTCGGAACCTGCACAGTCACAAGGAACCTGCAAACCAGGGCTTGCCTTGCCAACCTGTCTGACAACATCTGACGACCATGTCTGTAAATAATGCGTCTTGGTTGCACTTTCAGACATAGTGATCGACATGGTGGTAGACTGCACAGGGCGCAGGGTGGTTCAGCACATCAGGAAACACATAGATAAATCAAGTGCATCCATTAGTTTTAATAAACTTAACATGGGATATGCCAGTGGCACGTTTCGATCATCAAATGAAGAGTGAGTTTTGGTCAAAACGTGCCACTGGCATATCCCAGGTTGAGTAACTGTTCATGTAATTATTTGGCACAGCAAACATATTCAGTAAGAACAGGGTGCGGTTACTGGTGCGGTTTTATTGTATTTTTTGGTCGCCTTTGGTGATTTGTTTGGCGGTCTTGGTGCTGCAATAGCATTACAGTAGTTCCTTCAGTAAACCTGGAATAGCATTGCGTTTGGGGAACTTTTTGTGTGCGGTCGTGGTTTCTTCTCTATAGTTCCTTCAGTGGAGCTGAACAAATATATTACCTTCGGACAACATCTAGAAAACATACATGGAAACTCACACATTCCCAAGTCATCTGCCTTGTCCCCTTTGTGTCCGGGTGTGTGTATATAGATCCCGTGTCATCAGGCAAAAAGAACCAAAACGACGATATATAATGCAAAACATCACCAGAAGCAAAAAAAAGAGTGGGAAAAGCATACAAAGCTAGAAAAGAAAGCATAAAGCAACACTAACTATCACTAACTCAAGGACTGAAAACCAACTGATCAAAAGTGAAAGCAACAAAGACCATAGACGTAAAAAATAGAAGTAATAAAACAATACGATAAACAAACGAGAAGAAGGAAAGTAAAGGAGAAAAGCCGGGAAAAACAAACCAAACGTAAAAGGAGCAGGAAAAGTCAAAAGTAAGAAACACAAGCATTCACAAAGAAACAATGAAAAGCATGGAAAAAGCAAGACTAGCACAAAAATAAAAACTAAAAAAACACACCAACAAAAGCGGGAGCAACCACAAAGCAAGGACAAGCAAGACTAGCACAGAAAAGCAGAAAATGCAAGAACAGCGGGAGCAACCACAAAAAAGCAATGATAAGCAAGGAAAAACTAGAAAATCAAACGAGGTCATAGAGAAGAAAGCAAAAGCAAGAAAAGCAGTCAGAAGCACATCAATAAAAAATCCCCAAACTCAACAAACAAAATCACTAAAAAATTGCCCTCCAAAAGAAAACGTAAAGAAATGTTCAGTAAGAAACGTCTGTCTTGTCGACGGTTGCAAATTTTTGTCACAGGATGCATGCACTCCCAAAATCTGCGCACACAATGTACACATGTTCCAAACATTGAAGAAGGATGAAAAAGGGTCGCAGTAACAACGTTCTGTGTTACACACATTGATCCAACGTTCTACACAACTGCCTGGAAATCAGGGCGCCCCCCCGTAGGGCGCTGCGCTTTACTCTTTGAACCAAATTGCTCACGAGACCCGTGACTTGTGAGTGACAACTGCCACAGGGGAACCAAGAAAACTGTACAACGCTAGACTAGGAGACGTGAATAGCCAGGGGAACCAAGAAGTCCTCCCTCCACTTTCATCACAAACGTTTCAGCCATTTCTCATGGACCGAGGCTTGAGGCGACTCCCCAAACAGCCTTCATATCGAGAGTTCAGGTGTTCAAGCTCAGACCTCCATGTTTCTCTCGCGTGATCAGCGATGCTTGGTCAGTCGACTGAGCAGTTCCCGTGTTTCACGGTCTGCTGAAGTGAAGGGCCGACCTCCTCAAGGACCTGAGAGGCTGGACTTGACCCACGTTGATGAACGCAGGTGGACAAATGGCGGTATTCTCTTGATCGTCTTAAAAAATGAAAGAGAATGTGCAAAAGAACCACGGACGTATAAATACACCAATGTCGTGTTTTTTTTGCATTCTCTGCGCTACACAAAATATAATAGACCCAACGATGTGGATTGTTAAAACCTTTATGCTTATTGCCACACAATCTACAGTATATCAGCTGCCACAGCGCCATGCTTTGACACATTCCTAGTCCTATGCCTACACCTAACTACAAACAAACTTGGAAAGTGCTTGCGGTCAGGCTGGCAGCCTTTGCGGCTTGTGATACGTACGCGCAGAACTGTATGTATATACAATTTTATAATAAACTGGCATATTTGTGTGTGGATCTATGGATGCTTCCCCATGGTATATATATATATATTCATCTGTCAGTCAGTGCCCAAATCTTCATGTCATGCGCTTCAAACCCTGGCACACTTCCCAATATAACGGCCACCAAGAGGCGACAGGAGAGGCGACAGCAAGCGAGGTGACAGCAATCGAACTGTAGCATTGGTCGCGTTCTCGTCAGGATTGAAGTCTGACATTCAAAAGGAGCCGTTGTGTCTGATGCTATTCTTCAAGCATGCTTTTCTGTTGCCGCTAAATGCAAACCCGCTGCGCCGTGCAAACCTTTCATGCAAGGAACCCCATTTTCTGGAAACAGCACCTTTCAAATCCTCTCAATATTCAAGATTTCAGGACCTGAAAAAAGGTGAAGTGCGTGCTGAATGTGCGGGATTTGTGCGTGCAGTGCAAAGTATGAAACCAAGAAAAATCACACCTGCCCATGGATCTTCATCATCACCTCCGCTCTTGTTCGTTAAGAAGAAGAGCACCAAAATGGAGCACAAGATTGACCTGGGAAGCTCAACATTCCATGAGTAGAAGTCAATCTTGAACTTCAACCAAGAACTGCACCTGGGTGATTCATAAGATTCAATATATTCAATGCTACTTGCCAATCCACACAATCTTCCAAGTGATCAAACGATTTAGTGGTCTTCACTCTCTCCCTCTCTCTCACAACACTTGGCAAAGACCGTCAGCTGTAGCAGGTGGGACAAAATGATCGAGACAAGTCCGTGTAACAAGACATCCATTGTTTCACAACGCGTTATCGAGCTTTTTGAGGATTCTCAAGAGCACCAGCAGGGTGAGACAAGGTATGACTTCAAACAAGTGGCGCGCAGGTACAACAGCAAATTGCCACGTACTCGATCCAGCGCTTGATCTGATTGGTGCGGATGGCCCATCCCAGATCCCAAAGGCCGGTGTTTCGATAGCGAGTAAAAAGGGTGCGACCTGCAGGTCACTCCCAACTTAGTTATATAGTTATATAGTGATATATAGTTGCGACTATAACTTGTCTGTGGGCATTGAACATACTGCACGTAAAAACAACTCCATGCACAATCCATGACAATGTCCATGGACCTTGACACAGGTAATAGCCGCGTCCACTGGCACTACGATGACCAGCAAAAGGGCCAGGAGAAGCCAGCGCTTTTGAAGCCTCAGGTAGCTGAAGGCTCTATATAAATGTATAAATACAGCTGTCTCGAATAACATCAATCAAGGATGACATCCATAATTGGATTGTTGAATGTCCGGAGCTGGGCAAAGCTCCCTGACTCAGGCCTTTCTACTTTCATTGTCCTTCTTGCCTCTTGCTACCTGGTGCTACCTTGCCAAGTACTTTCATGTATTGGCGCCCTAAACTTAGCCAAGGACAGGGGAACGACGACTCAACATCTCAAAGTGGGACGAAATTGACCATAGAAGAATCATTTATAACATAAACGGGGAGTTTGGTCAATTGTGTCCTTTCCCACTGACTGAGGCCACTCACGTTGCCATTGACACGCCGCGACTCGTGACCTACAAAAACGACAGCGCAGCGGCAGGCTGTCATTGTAGCACAATCTGTAATACCCGATGAATAATACCTGAATCATTGGGCGAATGATTTTAATTGAACAAATGTATTTAAATCCTTCGGGGCAGACGTCCTTTTACTTTTTTAAAATGTGCCAAGGTCGAGTCGAGGCTCACTTTTTTTGACTGAAATTCTGTCGTAGTAAAATCCTCGGGCCGACGTTTTAATATAATCCTGGCCCTACCCTCATGATCACATCTGATACCGAAATCATGGGCTTATTTAAACCCTAGTATGGACATCAAATCCCCACACATGTCCCCAAAAAAGTTGTATGTTTTTCCTTCCGGAAAACCTTCCCCTCCACAAATCCACCAACACTCTTTTTCTCTATTATATATATAAGGACATGCATGTTCTTAAAAAGGAACGGCCATACACCGCGGTCGGACAATTGAAACGGGTCATCGGGTCCTTGGTCGTGGCTTCTTGTTCTTAGTACTCTAGTAGTAAGGCCAGGAGCCCCTAGTAGCGTCCTTGTTTGACCTTCAGATTCAGGTCCATTCCAAACTCCACAGGAACGCTCAGTTGAGATCAGGAAAAAATATTTGCATCCATGGTTGGCTAAAGAATAAACATTACAAGAATGGAAGGCTGGCAATGCACAGACCGGCCCTACTCAAGTATTAAAATCAGACCCCGTGCAAGCAATCACAGACTGGGAAAACATGCATTACTAAACTCCCGGCCTGAGATACCATGTGGTCCTCAATTTCGCTGGTATGTTATTCCAACATGATTATTAAAACCCTTGTGCCAAGGGTTATATAACTTTGTTGGTAGCAAGTTTTGGGCGTCGTATTATTTTTCGGGGCGCAGGCGAAAAACAAAAAACATTCTTATTTTTTCCTGGGGTTGACCCCTAGGATTTTATATTGATTATTTAACAGGTATTCTGTAATCACCCTGCCCCCGAGAACGGTGTGTTCATGTTTTGATGTAATCTGGTGGTGAGGAATCCCACTGCATCCAGCCCAGTTTGAGCATCACTTAACTCAAGGGCCTTTCAACGCACATCTTTCCAACAGCGCCTCGTGCCACGAGCAGCAACTTTATCTCATTTATTGCCCATCGTTCGTGGGCCAGCTGCGAAATGGCAGCGAACACATGTGCATGAGCCAACATCTCAATCCAACATTCCAGCATTTCCTCTGCTACAAGGGTGCTGCAAGGGATGTGCTGCAAGGGATTCGAGGTAGTCTGAAAACACTCAAGTCTTGCTTCAAGCTTTCACAGCTCTGTCAGGTCTCCGCACTGACCGTTTCAACAATGCGAAGGTGCTGGGAAGGCAGTTAAGATCATTATCAGCTCTTGTCTTTGGATGTCTCTTGAAGCAATCCTAGTCAATAATGGACAACAGGTGTCGCTGGGTGGTGCTAAACCACCCTTCCTGGAAGCTAAAGTAAGTGGTTCGAGGACACTATTCAACTGCTTGGGGCGGTTTCTTTTCACGGTTCACCCAGAGCTTCTGCAGCGTCCAAGCTCCAGTTGATGACTGCACATGCCACGCAGCTCGGGACTCACTGCCCTCAACCTGGGATACAAAAATCGCACACGCAAAATGGCCGCTTCGTGGAAAATGGCCAAGGCGGAGCTCAGAACTTCCAGGTGTTGGCTATCATCATGCATGTGGTCGCTACGACATGATGAGTGAGATATCATATCTTACAAAATGCACAAAATGAAAAAAGCACGATCAGCTGCATGTTAGAAAACATACGCGAATACGCACAGCACTCTTGACTCATTCCCTTATCCCCGGGCGCCTTCACAAAACCAACCAGGCCAAGGCACCAGCAATGCTGCGCCTTGTCGCATTTCCACACGGAGCACGTGATCGTTTTCAGCATCCGCCGTCAAGCGGGCGCACGCATCGCCAACGGAGAGTGTTGCGTGCTCCTCCGTGCCAGCCTGCAGCCACGGGAATACCTGAGCGCAAACCATGCCCATTGCTTCAATGAACGGAAGGAGACTGAAGGAACACCGTTGACGTGCCAATTCTCAGTGTTCCAAGTTCCATAAGATGTGTCTGAACTGGCTCACTACAAGCGTCTATAGTGGTTTTTTCTTTATTTTCCACGAACTAAACATGAGTCTTGACACACAGAACTCCACACTGGATGACTGTGACTCTGCCAAGGCGCAGCTTCACCGTTACAGGGCGACAACCAAACAGTGAGCTTCGTGCCTCCGCATCGCCGTACTCCATGCCGCTGCGGTGCCTCCCACAGCAGGGCTGCCGGTGCAGCTGACTCCCGGCCGGGGCAAAGGACAGAGGTCAAGGAGTCGTCCATGGTGGAAAGGTGCTGAGGAGGCAACCTGGGTGAAAAACTTCGAATGGCAATTGAAAAAATGAACAGTGCGCCATTCCGGGCAGAAAAAGGCGCACAAACTTGCCCAAGCGAAAATGCACAGTGCCAACTGCCAACAGAAAAACGTTCACTATCATTATGTCGGCAATCCCCCTTGTGCAGCTCTCTGAGCTGGGCTGAAGTGTTTCTATTTTATAAGGGATGTTGTGCCTCTAAAATGAAAAAAAAACAGAGTCAGGTTTATAAAATGAGGGTTGGTCATTATAAAATACTGAACCAACCTTTGTATACAATGAAAAACAGCAGAAGTAAGAATGCATCAACAAAAACCTCGGACAAACCTATATACATAATGCAAAACCAGCATCACGCTCCTGGATCTCTGATCTTTTTCTGACATTGATGTCTTTTTGTAATGAAATTAGGTTTGGAAATGTAATCTTGTAAAGGAACAGGTCCTTGATTTCATAAACAGTTAGGTAAGGAGGATGTGCAGCATAGTGCAGCACCCTGTCAAATAAGCGTTGTCTGCGGCAGTGTGGCAGGACATTCAAAGCTAAGCGCACCCAATTGTTTTCAAGTGGCGGCACAATTGTTGCAGGCTGTGCAGCAGGCTGATGAAAGCACAATGCCAGCGCGACAAACTGCTGACATTCCTGGCATGTCAAATCTGGTCTGGACATCTTGGAGGGTGGATAGTTGAGCTTGACCCTGCGACAAGTTTTTTTGGGCTCAAACGAACGATTGCAAAAGGCGCCACAAAATAAGGTAAAGAAACCAGTACTGTGCGGTCAGAGTGTGTATGCACTCTCATGCATTCTTGTGAGCACCGCACCATCCTGCAATCCCGAGGCTCCTCATGCGCCAGCAGTTCTGGTATGTAGAGGACTCTGCCTTCCTCACAGTCAGCCAAAGTCTCCACTTTCAAGCCAGGTGCCTGTCAAGCAGTGTCTTCAGAATCGGGAGCAGGATAAGGCAGTGCGAGCGTCGTATCCAAACATCATGCCCTATATATAAAAAATATACATTGCAGTGATATATATATATATTAGATATATTAAATATATACATGTGACAATGTGTGTGCACATGTGTTGAGAAACAAAACACCTTTTCAGATAGTGCATCCTTCCCGGTCTAGGGATAATTAGTTCATGCAAAGTTATCGTGGAACGGAATTTCATTGTTGCCGAGATGCTGACATGCTGCAGCTCTTCCATGGCAGTGTTTTGGGCATGGAAGGCACAATCATCGATCCAACCTTCACGCTGAGGCGCTGCAATTCTTAGGGACAAATGTGCTTGAACGCTCTTACGAGTACCACCTACGCCGTACGCTGTAGTTAGCCGTGGATTCTAAGAGACAGGAGGTGTTCTTCTCAAGAATGCAACGAAGGATGCCGGCATGTCGGAAGTGTACATGCAAAACTTACTGCTTCAATACATTGAACTGGGGGGGCTCTTGGATTCTGGTTTTATCGGGGGGTCCTGGCTCTTTATATAACTATTTTTAAATCTATATGTATATGAGTTAGCGTCAAAAATACATGCTTGGAGTGTTTTCGTTTCACTTTTGTAAGTCCCCTATCGTTTTCCATGGTTTTGGATTTTGCAAGTATGTATACATAGGGGTATCGTTTTTTGTCAGTCCCCTATCGTTTTTCAAGGAAAATCACGAAAGCAACGCAGAGATGAAACGTCCCTTACTAAAGTGGTTGATGATAATTTTGAGGTTGCCTCATATATAATATGACATAAGGTGTATATAGATGTATACGTATTAACTTTATACTTTTTGCTAATCATCTACCGTTGGCTGAAATTTTGGAATATTGGAAAGGCAATGAGATATGACTGACCATCAAACCAATTGCACGGCATGCGCCACGAAGCCAAGCATTCCTGTTCCAAAAGCCAATCTTCAAGCGGCGATGCTTCTACCAGCCGCAGGGGCGCCTGGCAATGGTCTGCTTCCGAATTCGATGGGGCGGTGGCAGATTCCGGTCTTCGCTGAGGGAAATGGTCACGCATAAGTATCATAAGCTGCAAATGTCATCTCCAAATCTCATTCCCCAAGCCATGTCACACTCAACAAAACAAATCGAGCCTCTGGCCTGCGCCAACCATGAGGGTTTGGCCCAGCAAGCCAACGCACCTGGCAAAACGAACGCAAGGGATGCCAAGAGAACATGTTCCACTGTTATGTTTCCGTACGATGCGGGTAGATGCGTTCTCTTCGGTCGTGTTGCTGGCCATTGTGAATATTCCCAGCTTGCTCAACAGGCCTCCACACACAAGGCATCGGACGACCCTTAGCTACAATCCTGATGGAATTTAGGCCTCCAAAAGCTGTGCTTGCCACTCGCTGCTGTACCTGGCTGCTGTACCAGCCATGCCACCGAACACACTGCAAACGACTCTCTGTGCCACGCCAAAAAGAAATCTGCTCCCTTCCTTTTTGTCTGTGGCGGACGAGGGTTAGCTGAATAGCTCATGCCGCCTAAATCTGATGAGCTTCCGACGCTAAAAGCATTAACCACCTTGCAATGAATAGC